AAGGGAGCATTTCAAAATTTTTGCCGGTCGGCCGGCCGCTTTGCCGCTCAACCGCTCTGCCTCTATGCCGCTCTGCCGTTCTACCGCTGTGCCGTTCTCATGCCGCTTCACCGCTTTGCTGTTCTGCCGCTCTGCCGTTCTCATGCCGCGGCACAACGAATTTATTATACTTACATTTTCAACATGTTATTCGGTTCTTTTGATGTATGTATATGTACGTACGAAGTATACTATTCTTTTTCTATTCAATATTCTTTGACTCTAAGATATTGATATCCTTCCAAAACAATCAGTTTTTCTATATAAGAATTTGTGTACGTAGATGAGTTAAATTTATTGAAATGCAAATTGAATATTCAAAAGAATTACAATGATTAAATATTAGTATGAACAGTTTCATTAATATTCACGTGAAATAGAACGTCTTTTTCGTTTTACGATGTTATTGATTTGAGTTGAGGATCGCTTAAGTTTAGTTGTTGGTGGATGTATCCATTGATTATGTCTATCTTCATCTGCTTTTGATAGAAATACGTATGGCAATTTGCATCTTGAACATCTGGCTTTTGGTCCAGATAGTAAATTTTCATCTGGATAAAGATTTTTTTTCACCGGATAAGATAGAATGTGATCTTTGTAAAAATGTATCATAATGTTGATTACTATATGTCATTGTTGGCCAAGGAATATATCCACCACCGGCACGAAGTAAAGATATTGTTTTTGTAGAACGAATTGGATAACGAGAACAATGTACACAATGTTTATCATTGCATTTAATAAATGATATATAATACGTGGAACGAACACAATGACGTAGGTAGAGTTGTAAACTAAATTGAACATTTGGATTTTTTTGTATTTGTATTTGTGATTTATTCATTAGTAAATTCTTTAATTCATCATGTCCTTCAAATAAATTTGCATTAACAGAAAACATCGGACGACAATCGATTTTATAATTACAATAACTTGTATTATTCCAGTATTTACATAAGTCAATTAATGCCACATCCATTTGCTGCGATTTATCTTTAAATGATGTATCCAAATCAATAATAACACCTTGTAACAGATCAGTTAATCTGGAGAACATACGTTCAATTGGATTAAAACGACTATGTCCTGGAGCATAGCTGACCCATATCAGAGCATCGAGTCTTTGTTCCTCCCAAAGTCGTCCTAAGTTATATATGTTCGCCATGCAATCAGTACTCCAATCTGGTCCGTTATCAGATATCATTGTAATAATACTTTTATGAAATAGCATATTATTTTCTGATGTTATTTGTTGTATATTATTTATATGAACTTCACTTGTTGCTTTATTTAATCGATCAGTTCCAGAACCAAATGGACGAATAAATAGCTTTCCTGTTCTACTCCATATAACATGATCAAAATTTCTTTTATCGCTCGTCTAAATCAACAAAGAATAAAAGATTCACTAATTTTTAACTTTTAACTCTGAAGTAAATAGAACAATTATCTGACCAGAATATTACATTGCTTTATATCTGGAAATAATTGAATATCACATGATCTTGATCTTTTCTTGATTGTTAATTCACATGATGGATGACTATCAACACTAGATGAACGTTGCCGTGTGTTTGATAAAACAACATATGCCGATGGATTGATTCGAATACCATGTCTTGGAAAATCATGATCAGGTAAATTTGGCTGATTTTCAACTAGATGAAATTTTCTGCTTCGTACATAACGACTCACGGCTGGTGCACCTAAAACGACATGTTTCGAAATTTATCTGTTTATGTACACGAGCTGTTATACTGTGAAAGAAATAGATTGTGAAAAAGAAGAGGAACACTTCTTTCGATCAATGAAACCATAGCATTCTTTTATGTTCTCTGCTAATAATACCACTAAACCATGTTCATAAATCGCTTATAAGTCAGTTGACAGAAAAAAATAGGCTTTACCAAGGGAATATGTTATTAATCACGGTTGCTCTTTTTTCTCGAAAAGCGGCTCCTCATGAACAATTGACATTGCCTTATCTCTTTCATCGTCAATTTTCTTTGATATTCTTTTCACCTTTTTCATCAATATACGCATTTTGTTCTATCTCAGAAATGATAAACATGTATACATCCAATAATCACAATCATATATGAGAGATGTCTAGCAAAATAAACATTTAAAATGAAATGCAATGTCGCAGCTAATATACTAGACTCATTCACATGTAGCAAACTCTAGCGTACTTTTTTTGAAAATGAAATTTATGTAAACTAATATGTACAGATTATAATGCTATATCTGATGGCTGTCCTGTTTTAATCCACAATAATCTAGAAGTTTTCATATAGGAAATAATCCATTGTATTAGCTACGATATTACATTTTACTGTCAATAGATGATACGTTCGATTTATTTCCTACGTCATTACGATCACAGAATGTGCATACATTTATCTCTATTGCAATAGAATACAGTACATATATTGATAAAAAAAGGGCGGAGAAAATATCAAAGAAAATGGAAGATGAAAAGACGAGACAGTGTGACTTGTTGGTAACGAGCAGTTTCTCGAGAAAAGAAGAGAAGGAGATATAGATGAAAAAGAGAAGCCATCTTTAGCAACATATTCTCTCTTTTAGTACAATTCTTGACGTCCAGTGACTTACAGCGAATTCTAAGCATGGTTGATTAGTGTATAGAATGTCACCCATTTGATGGTCAACAGAAAAAGAGGGAACAGAAAGAAATCACTCCGAAGAGAATTTTTCCGGGGAAAAGCTCAATGTATTTAATTTCTTTTTAAATATACATACCTAATGGTATTTTTGCTTTATTATCACAGGACAGTGCTAATATTTCGTCGCTGTATAAACTAGACAATTCTTCCACATAATTGACTTGCGAACATGTAAAATGAAAATCAATATGTTCTTTTATTGACTGGGAATTACGTTTTTGTGGAATTTTTGCTAATATATGACTTTTGTAGTATTTGCTACTTTGAATATTATTTTTTGGCGGTAAAAAATAACGACGAACAGTAGAATTTGATATTTTATTGATTCTTGAATATTTTTTCATTAGCCGCTTTTTAATATGTTTAGTACAATCAACTGTCGATAAGCCGTTGAAACGTACTGCATCGTCACGACGTCTATCTTGAGCAGAACCACTATGTGTATTTAATACACTTTTTAATTCAGTTATTATGTCTGGACATAATTCGTGATAAGATTTTCTTCCAGCTTTCTGACGTTGAAAACGTGTTAATAACATTTGTCGCATTCTTTCTTGAGACTTTTCTTTTGTTTCGAACATCAACCATCGGTAACTTGGCATGATAAAAACTTATCAAAAGTAATTGAGAATTTGATAAAATGTTTTATAAGTAAATGAGGCTTATGGAGAATGCTTGAGTAAAATTGAATACGTAGTTTAACTATATTTCATGAAGAATAATGGAATGAAATAACACCCGTTCATGTATCGCCAATATGACTAATTATGCTCTATAACAGAATACATGAACTCAGTCAATTATGATACATATGTCTTTACACGTAAAGCCAATTAATGTAAAACAAATGTAACAAGAAAAATACACAGATATGTATAATTAATTATTTCTCAGTACATGAGAATAGTATATGATCATGTAAACAACAAAACAAATAAGCTTATCTATGTTTGAAAAAGAAACTATTTTTAGGAGAAAAAAACAGTTATACATTTTCATTTCACTAAAATCATATACATAAGTTTTGTAGCTGTAGTCATTCACTTAACTATAATCATGTCGAAATCTAAAAATGTACGCGAAGCCTCTCCAGAAATTGTTGAAGGTAACGATGACTCTGAATATGAAGAAGAAAATCATAATCAAATGACAACATTATCAATTATAAATGAAAAATTGGATGTATTGTTAACAAAATTTGATAAAATGGAAACTTCAATTAATACTCTTAAAAAAACTGTTGATATATTAGTAAATAAACAAACAACAATCGATATAACAGTATGTGAATTACAGAAAGACAATGTTGATAAATCAGCCAGCATTATTAACACAGAAAAGTGCTGTACAAAAATTTTAGAATTAATTGAAGAAAGAGCTTTATCGTTTGAAAATGCCATTCAACATGCATCCGACCAAATTAAGGAACAACTCGTAAGTAAACAGAAAAATTTTTAAATTAAAAAAATAACATATTGAAAAAGTGTTTCAAATCATATCTCAGTAGATCGATTTGTATTTCTCCATTCCACAAGTATTACTTTCCGATTTTTCTAGTATACAAAATTTCTTTATATAATGTAGTTTATATATCTATCAACCTTTATGTTATTTTCTAATTGACTTGATTAGTCCTTCAAAGACAGTCACCCGCCATGTCTCAATAATATGATACTTCTTTTATCACCTTTTAAGATTCTGTATCTAACTATATATGCGTGCAGAAGGAAAAACATCAAAACGAATGAAAAAAGCAGCAAACTGAGATACAGAAATGCTACATAAATAGTACAATCTATAATCTTGGACACCCTGCAAACGTAACGGTGCTTCTCGACCGAAAGTTCTCTTGAAGCTTGTTAATATATTCCAATCTTAAAACGGAATCGAGCACGCGGATTTCGAACAAATAGACTCCTGAAATTCGTTTTTCTGGAAAAATATCATTGCATTCTGATATTTTGTCTTTATTGATGAGTCTCTTAATTTTTGACACATAACTTTGTTTTAGGTTGTCCCATTTTCTGCTGGTACAGATACACCACACAGTACAATTATGGATAACTCTACATTAATGTTATTAAAGCAATCGGAGAGCACAACAGTCCCACTATCAACACCAACTAAAGTCATATCATCTGCAAATGAATTATTGTACTCACATTATGAATTTGAATCGTCTCCAAGTTGTACTTCGAAACGACCATATGATGTGAATGTAGATAGTGATGAATCATTTTTATCAACTTCAATTAGAGTGGTATGTTAGATGTGTTCCTTTTTCAAGTACCTATAATGCAGGAGATTCTTATATCTTTTAGAACCGGTTATGGAAAAGACAAAAAGCTGATAGTCAAATTTCAACCAGTATATCCAAGAATTTATCTCCATTAGTGAAAGCATTGAATGTAATTATAGACTATACAGAGCTATTTATCAGTGTTTTGTATTTTTTATATGAAACATTGTCTTTTTAGGAATCTCAAGTAGTGCTCATTGATCCTAATACACAAACAGTATTTCACGTTATGAAAGACAAGCATGATAGACAACAACTGGCAACCAACCAAGAATTATTAAACAAAGAAACTGGATTCCGTCATCTTTTGGCCTATCTTTATTCGACGTTATCTAAAGAAGAAGAATTAAAAATTTCATCAGTTGATGGCAGTGTTCGTGGTACAGAAGCATTTGATCCAATACGAGTAGCTGCCATTGATAAACATTTGTTTGACTTATATGGTGCAAGATATACAAAATTTCGTACAAGTAATCAATATAAAGAAATACTAAATAAGACATGCAATCGAATAAGAACAAAATTTAATAAAAGCATAAATAATAATTCAATTTGTGGTAATAAATAATTTGTATGTATATAAATAAATATAAATAAAATAACTTTTCTTTATTTCTTAATGACGAATTTATTTGTAAACCTAAAGTAACTTTGAGAAAAAAATTGATTGTTTGGGAAGGATACAAATATCGTAGAGTCAAAGAATATTGAATAGAAAAAGAATAGTATACTTCGTATGTACATATACATACATCAAAAGAACTGAATAACATGTTGAAAATGTAATTATAATAAATTCGTTATGCCGCGGCATGAGAACGGCAGAGCGGCAGAGCAGCAAAGCGGTGAAGCGGCATGAGAACGGCACAGCGGTAGAACGGCAGAGCGGCATAGAGGCAGAGCGGTTGAGCGGCAAAGCGGCCGGCCGACCGGCAAAAATTTTGAAATGCTCCCTT